AGAGGAGCTTGTGTTTCTCTTCTTATTTGGTGAATGTTTTGTCAGTCGAGGGTCAGATTAGCTTTGTTTGATAGTGTTGTGTTGTCACTGTATGGTACCAAATGAAATTATTATTTTCACAGAAATAGATTAGCTGAAAAGGATATCAAGAAGTTGCAATTGTAGTATTGTAAGCAGCTCATTTTGATCTGCTAGTTGAGAATTTTGACTATCAATTAAAAGATTTTGAATAGAAAATTTACTTATATGATGTGTGTGTGAGTTTACTTTAATTAGCCTAAATGTTCTGAAAAAAAAGTGTTTTCGATTCCGCATTATTTCAAAATTTTAACCTTTCAAGAGCATTATTATCAGAGGTTTAATGACTCTTTCAATTGCTTGACATGTCATCTTTATAGTTACATATCAGTACTTATCTCATTAGAGGGCACCCATCCACATGTGGACAGATCCTTCCAACCATTCTCCAACTGTTTCTTGTCCTGGCCACAAGGATAAAAATAATGTGTAACTTGGCTTAAAATTAGTTCATAGTTATTTGGATCTAAGTTTTCGTTTGAGATAGTTTTTTATCACTATTTTTTCATTGTTTTCAAAAAATATATTTATACTAAAAAACTGCTTTAAAAAGCAATAAAAAGCTGTCCCAAGTAAAACCTCATTTGGTATAGTTTTTAGCCATGCTTTTTCACTACTCAAAAGAAATTTTGATATAAAAAGTAGCAAGAAAAATGTCACAGAAGCCTCAATCTCAAATCAAACCAAATTTAATTAAGTTCAGCTCAATGTGATCTTAATTCAATCGAGACATGACTCGTTAATATTGATTCAAGCTCGATAGAAGCTAAAAAAGAAGATGATCATGATTAATCTTTCAATTTTAAGAGCAAATTAGCCCATAGCTATTTGATTCAATCTTTCAATAAATTTTGAGTGAAAAATCTCATCCTTATCTTAGTAGATGTTTTTGTTGTTTTTTTAAATCTTTCTTATTATACCATTATTTTATTATCTGCAACAGCTAATAAATATGAACTCATCCCGTCGAAGTAGTCATTCTTTTGACCTCTCCTTTGCTTTGATGCAAATAAAATAAGGAATACTTAGTTGTATTTGCTTACAAAGCCTTGTAGATAAAAAGAGAAAGAGTGATAAAAATAGAATTGGCTGTCATCATCATTTTTATTCTTATATTAAAAATTATTTAATTAACAATTATTAAGATATGATTGATTGATTGCTTGGTTTTATAAACTAATTAAATGATTATTACTCAAAGTTTAAAGAATGAGTGTATGATGACACTAAGATGGGGAGTCTTTTTTTAATATTATTTTAAAGATGTGTATGGAAACCAATTACAATGACCTCACATCATTAATAGTTTTCATTTTGAATATTTCATCTCTTGTGAACTTTCATGCATGTTTATTTTTTAATTCTTGGCTATTTATAAAAATAATTTTATATTTATTAGAACAACTTATTGTCGAAAGTTGGGCAGTGATGAATGCTTTTCTTAATTATTGTGATGGGACTTCACCCTTGCTTCAATATTTATTTATTTTATTTCAACAAATATAATACATGATTTTATCTCAAAATTATGTATTTCATTCTAAAATGTTAATGATGTTTTTTTCACCTTCAGGGTTATAGGTCTTTGTCAATCAACGTGCTCAATATTAAATTATTTATGTTTGAATGTGTATGCTTTAATTGAGCTGGAAAATTTGGCAAAACTCTAGGCTTAGGTTGAGGAGGGGAGATCTACCTTTGCTTCTATGCTTATTGGGGTTTCTATTGATTTATCACTTGACCATGAGCTCTTAAATCTTAAGTTGTTTCTAGTCAGGTGTTTATGCTTAGGTTCCCTTTAGACCCTATAAATAAAAAAGATAACTCGAATGAATGTTAGATGAATTGTAATCATTTGAGTTGAACTACCCTAAAGGAGGCTAGTATGGCCCTAGGTCCAATAATTCTCAAAAGCCAAATTAGTTAACAACATCATTCAGTATGAAGATCACACTTTCTAGTTCAAGATCACTTTGAGAACCCTATGCAAATATAATCAAAGGCTTTATTGCCAACTATAAAGGGAGGATACTTTTACCTTTATTACCTCACCAATAGTAAAAGCATATATCCGTCTACCCCTTTAAAGAAGAGGACATCAAATGTCAATCTTTCTCCTCCTTCTATACCCTCAATTTTTTGTTGGATTTTCTTTCATTGGAAAGTTACAATTATGAGGAGGAGACCTTTTTAGCATCTATTGCCCCTATATCTATGGTATACTAGGTAAAAAGATATCTAACTCCTTTAGGCTCTGAAGAAAGACCACTAAGAATAAAAACTAGATGCTTAAAAAACATGTAAAAGATATTGTAGCATCATTTGCTTAGAGGGGTGGAGATCAAAACATCACCAAGATAGCAAAGATTCCTCATACTACCCCTTGAGCTCAAGTCAATCCCATTATCGATACATCTTGAGCCTATCTTGTTGTAATATTTTAATGATTACAAATATTATGGGCAGAGTTTGCTCAGTTTCTCTTACTTATAATCATTGCATATGTTTTTGTGTGTACTAATATTTTAGGACAATAAATAATAAGCACCGCCAAAGGATCAGAGTTCAAAATTGGGTAGTATAGGATTTTTTTTTTTTGCAAGAGTTTGTATCTTGTAAGGAGGAGAAGCCTTACAAGATACAGTACTTCTGTTAGTGATACTCAATACTGTTATTGATATTGTGACTGTAATTGGCATATTAATGTGAACTAAATGAATGATAAGATTGAACGAGGGTCTAAACACAGTTGCTCCGGCCAACATTGATCTTCTTCCTCCATGAGTCAAACTTTACTTGAGGGAAACTTCGGGAAGAACCTCTTGGAGTCAAAGGGCTATCATTAACTCCACAACATCGTTGTTGAAAGGGATTCAGCTACTACATCGTACCAGGTTGGTAGAAGATATTATAATAAGGCTTCTCTGCCTTACTATGTGGGCAAAAGGAGAGACAATAAAGAGTTTATTACAATACCCAGAGAAGAGGACTTCGGGGAGTGGACGTAAACAGGTTAAGTTTGAACGAACCACTATAAATCTGGTATGGTTGTTGTTACTTTTCAATACTTTATTTTTTTGCTTTTTTTTTTTTTTTGCATGTTTACTTTCTTGTAAATCCAAGTTAAAAACTTTGTGAGTGTTTGTGGAGACTTTTGTTAGATAAGAAAAGAAAAGAAAATTAAAATGAAAGAAAAATATTTTGCTATTTATTTGTCTACAAAATCAAAACATAAAAAATAGCATTTGATTATTCTTTATATTTGCTTCCGCTTGAGAAAATCAGTTTTAAGATTATATTTGTGAATTTGATTAAGTTTTTCACAGAAGAGTAAAATAAAAATTTGAAATATCAATTCACCCCCTCTTGATTTGTCAGTATAGTTCAACTAGTCTAACAATCCTAAATTGAACTTTCATATCTCAAAGATTTCAAGAGGTGACCTTCATAAATCACTCATTATTGAGTATAAATCACATGATCATACATTAATCATGCTTGCATAGAATTATCAATATCTTTATATCTCTATATTTTTTCTATTCCTATTTAAAACAAGTAAAGATCGACAAACATGTGAACATGATAATTGAAAAGGCTAACTATTAAAGATAACATTGAAATAATCTAATTGTGAATATAAAGACTCTTACCAAATTCCTTAAATCTACCTATTTTCCACCAATCAACTACAATAAACAATTAAACCCCATGCCTATATTAACCAATACATATATTTAATGAAGAAAATATATATATCCACCCCCAACAAACTAATGAAAGGCCCATTTGTTTAATGGGATCAGGCTGCATAAAAAATTGATAAATTATGAATATATGTGGACATTGGTCCTATCAAAGAATTAAAAGATTTCAATATTCAATAGCTTTATTCATATTATGAGAAAATTGTATTATGATATGTATGATACATATCATATAAATCTTAATTTATTGAGAAAATCATTTGATTGAATTTGGCTAAAATAGTAATTTATTATAAAATTTAGGATTAACTTGAAATATATTTGTATTTAAATGGACAATGTTAAAATAATTTCAATTTTTTTAGCAATAAAATTTAAAATATATGACTTTAATGATATAACTCTCTTATTTATGGGCCATGAGTCATTTCACATCTTTTCATCTAATTTGAAGTAAATAGTTTTTTTTTTTTTTGGGAAATTGAAGTAAATAGTAGCAATAGAGCTTTAAACTTAGCAAATTTAAGCTTGGTTTGGGACGGCTTTTTCAGTGCCTCTTACAATAGTTTTTTAGTACAAAATTTAAAAATTTGTACTAAAAAATAACTTTAAGAAGCAGTAAGAAAGCTATCCCAAACGAAAGCTTAGGCTTCATTTGGAAAAACTTTTTGCAACTAATTTTCACTATTTTTTTAAAAATATTTTTATTGCATAAAATTGTAAGAAAACTATCCCAAATGAAATCTTAATAGATTCGGACTCATTTGGGCTCAGATTGGGTTGATCTTGGTGTCGTTGGGTTCGTATTTCTGAGACGCTCAGTTTGACTGTAAGCTCGCTGAAATCGGAGGTCATATGCTCCTGAAATTAATTTTTGAAGTTTCCAACTAACTTTTGCCTCGAGATTCGTGTCCGATCAAGATAATTTTTGGAGTATGTATCAATAGTAATATTCATTCTTTTTTAATCAGATTTATGTTAAATTTATTTCTGTATGTCTTATAATTTTTGTTCGTATTTGATCGATAAGATAGACTGATAGAGGAACAAATTAAAAAAATCAGCAGCTAAAAAACCCTGGCCCGTAAGATTTGGAGAACTTAACGAGATTCGACCACTTGGCAAATTCTTATTAGGACAAGTGTTATTGCGTTTTACTCCTACATAGAGGTTTGTTAGGTTGAAGGAAAAAGAAAAAAAAATCTTTTGGGAACTTGTCTTATATAGTTCGCGTGAGTTAGGAACGAGACCCGGAGGGTTTGAAGGATATAGACGTGACAGAAAAATCTCTGTTTTAAAGAATTTGAGAATGGTTAGAGTTATAGACGAAGCTTGAAACTGTTTTTATTTGCTCGCGCACTGAATGCGTATGTAGGCAGAGCTTGGCGGTGAGTTCTGATCATCCTCTTCAAATAAAGTCTTTTTTTTGGTAATGAGGCCTTGCTTAAATTTTGTTTATTGTGAGCTCTTTCTCCTCTTTTCGACGTTTTGGTTGGAACGTTAGGGATTCTGAGATGGGCTTTCTGTTTTTTTTAGTGGATTTATTTGATCACTGGTGATCGCTGAAGAGGTATGATGTTTTTTTTTTTGATAATCCTTACCTAAAGCCATTTGTTTGTTTTCTACTTCGTCTTCTTCGTCTTATACTCTTATTGTCGTTCTCCTTCTTCTTTTTCTTGTTAGTTTGTGTTTGGATGTGGGAGTGAGAAGAGCCCGCTTTGGGATTGTGATTTCTCTTGTTTTTTGGTGAGCTTTGAATAATTTTTAGGCAAGTTTTCGGCTATTAAGCCATGTTTTCTTTTCAATAAAAGAGAAATAATGTTCCCCTTCTAGTCTAAGGCTTATTTGCTTTCTTATTGATGAAAAGTATGTTAAAAAAAACTTTTTTTTTTCTTTTGAGTTTGAAACCTGAAATTCTCACTTTTGAGAGAATTTGAAGATGTTTGTAGCTTTGAAAATCTATATTAAAACCAAATTGCATCCAACCAAATGACTGATTCTAATAATTTCATCTTTTTTAAATCATGTTTACTAACTGCAATCAATCAAATGAAATGAACACTTAGGTTTCGTTTGTGACAGCTTTTAGTCACTTTTTTTCTGCTTTCAAAAAATTTTTATACTAAAAAACAAACTTTTTGTACTAAAAATTTGTTTCAGAAAAGAAAATAGTAAGAAAGTTGTTCCAAACAAAACCTTACTCTTTTAGAGTTTACTTGCAAGTAGGCCTCATTGATTTTTTTTTTTCCTTATAAGAGCTCCTTTGATTGTTTGTGGATAGAAAGTATGTTTAGAACATGTTGATATTGTTATTGCTCATTTTGTGTGCAAAATTGAAATCCTTAAATTTGAAGAGGCTTTGTAAAGTTAAGAATTGTTGGTGAGTTCCAACTATGCCCAAGTGCCAAATAATGAATTTAGCAAATTTCATTACTTTCATAAGCTTGTTTTCTAACTTCAAGGGAACAAATAGGTCAACAACAACAAACAACAACATCATCAAGCCTTTATCCCACTATGTGGGATGGGCTACATGAATCCTTTTTCTCCATTGTATCTTGTTAATAGTCAAATTCTCATTTACAGTAAATTGTAATATACCATCTAGATATTACCTACTGTAGCCTAAAAAGACTAATAGATTTGTCCTCTTTATGCAATCTCTTTGGAGATGATTCATCTTAGAAATGCTCCAACGTGTGCACGCTTAACTTGACTTCCTAATGTTTAAGCGTTTTGTTTCAGTATGCTCAAGGAATCTTAAATAAATAGTGTGATTTTATTTCTAAATTTAAGTGTTATTTGATCTTACTTAAACCATTCCAGTTTATTAGCTGCTTACACTAATTCTGCCAAATTTGTGGGTACATTATCTGGGTGTCTAATGTTGCTTTCGTCTTTCTGTCACTGGGGACGATGTGAGACAGCGATGTCTTTGGACTAATCTTGGTGTTAGAACCTCATAGAGTTTTGTAATTTTCTGTAGTTTTCCTATTTTAACGGACAGAAGTGCAGGTTTTTTAAATTATTTTATTTCATTCTTATCTAAGCTCGTGTAACGAGTAAGTGGTGACCAAGAGAACTTACTTTCTGCCTTTTGTTACTTTCTCGTCTTTGTTATTTGTGAACATCGAGGAATATCGACCATGAATTTTTTTCATTCTTTCAGAATTATTTATTTTTTTGGCAGAATGAGTATCTTTCCATTATTATTTAACTCACATTGAAGAGAACTTTTGTTTTCTGGCCTTTTCTTGATGTGGTTAGTTTTTGAAGTTTTCATTTTTACTCTCACTGTGCAACTGCTAGTCATTGTGTCAAAATGTTATTAATTTCTTCACGATTGTTTTCTTTTGCTATAAAGTGATGAATCATGAATATCTCTGTTTATGAATTTTTTTAACTGCTTGGTTATACAGCAGTTCCTCTACTTCTCATTGAAGTCTTGTGAATTTTATTGTCTTATACATCCTGTCTGTGCAATTGCTGTTTAGTGAAGACAAGATAACTACTAGAGTAATCCATTTATTTTACTGAATAAAAGATCATCCAAATTTTCAAATTTAAGAAGTACTTATATATGTGGTTATTGGTTTTCAAGTGAGAGATTGGATCGAAAAAATATCTCCCAAATGTGCTCATTGAGCTTTTCATTGATAGCTACAACCCACTTTATCATACCCACTCTAGAAGTTATCAAGAAGGAAGGCAAGCTTGCGGTTTTGCCAACCTTATCTTTTCCATCTTTTGTCACTTCCATTTGGTGAAGAACTCTATAGAGAATAAAGAGGAGCAATGGATCTATTGATTTCAAATTTGTTCTTGGGTGATACCCAGATCTTACTCGTAAGATTGGTAATGAAAAGTGGAGAATTAGGACGAGAGAAAGGGGGAGAATAGGAGAGAAGTTCTGTGATTTTAATGGTTAAAAACACAGATGTTGAGACAAGTTTCTTATGGTGAATTTGTGGTTTGTTCAATACTTAAATCCTTAATCAATGCAAATTCATCGTTTGATAAGAAACATTAGTTTAAAATCTTATTGTAGTGACCTGTGGTTCTATATTTAAACTTGTGCTAAATTGGCAATTTCACCACATATTTTAGATTTTTATTCTATACACAGATTATTCTTCTTTACACGTGAGACTCTTGGTAAGTGGACTACAGTGGTTTTACAAAATGGCTGCTTCTGGCAATGCGGAGAACAACAGTGAGCTAAGAATATTTGGAGGTTTGGATGATCTGGCAACTGATTTGGCCGAGTACATTGCACAATTATCAGAGGACTCTGTCAAGGAGAGGGGATTTTTCACTATTGCTTTAACTGGTGGATCACTAATCTATTTGATAAGGTCCATTTATTCACAAAAATTTGTTACATCTATATCATTGCTTGTGTGATCCAACATCAATAAATCAATCAAATATTTTGTTTGCATGCGCAGAAAGCTTTCTGAAGCACCTTACAACAAGACTGTCGACTGGGCAAAATGGTATGTTTTCTGGGCCGATGAGCGGGCGGTGGCGAAGAATCATGTTGCTAGCAACTACAAGCTTACAAAGGATGGGTTCCTCTCCAAGGTATATGTAATATAACTTCCCTTTACGGTGAAGCTTCCAATGGCAATGCTTAAATACTTTTCACAGCTTGCTTCACCTTATTACTGGTTGAAAATAGTAATACGATGACGGGTTTTTCCTCACATGGGCGGACCCACCTTAAGGCCAGGGGGTCCCTCCTGAAAAATAAAAAAATTCTTTATTATATGATTCTTTAGATAATTTATTCCCCTCCATGTATTTTTTTAGTTTTTACTATAAAGGTTTTTAGGCAATTGCCCCACCTAAAAGTTTTAAAATACTATGATCTTTAGGCAATTTTCCAACATAATTAAACACGTTATGTAGAGATGTTATTGTTAGGGAACGATGAACCAAATACAAAGAGAAATAGTAAAGATGATACAGGTCGATCCCCGCCAGGAAGCGCTGCCACCTTGGACCCCCGACATATCTGCGAAGCGTACAACGATGAACAAATAGGGGTCAAGAGGCAGTGCCCTTGGTGCAAATTTTGGTTGTAAGGATATTTATGAGAAAAAAAACTCTACACTTTTGCTTATAAGTTTGCCCCCCTTGAAAATTTAGGTTGGATCCACCCCTGATTTCTCAATAATTATATGATTAGCAGTGAAAATTATTTAGATCTCAGCAATCATGCGATAAATAGAGTTTGAAATAGCTTTCTTGGAGGTTTGAAAGAGTTTCGAAATTGATAATTTGAATTGAGAACTAATGTTTCCATAGTTATCATTTCGGTGGGCTCTAAACATTACATTTTTCAGATTTCCGTCATTGCTCCATATGAATAATCCTTCATCAATTTCTTTCCATTTTGGACTTGGTTGCAAGCATTTGCCTCTTTATCATGTTAGCCGAGCCAGAACTATTCTTCCTATAATTTTCGAAAGAAATTCCACACCATTCAAATAGTATGACTGCTTGAAGTGACATCTTGCTTTTAAACCTTTTCTCATGAAACAGTAGTGTAAAGCAAGCTTTGTTGGACTATTTTATCAGCTCTATTGCATTCTCCAAAAATTGAATAGCACCTTTATATCATCATATCTGAACAATTCTTTTTTGCTAGGTTTCCATCCTCAATAGCCATATTTACTCTATCAATGACAATTTGACTGTGGAGGAAGCTGCTCGGGAATACGAATTTGCGATCCGGCAACTAGTTAGGATGCGCACAATTGATGTTTCTGAGCACAATGACTGCCCCAAATTCGACCTCATCCTCCTTGAATTGGGCTCTGATGGACATATTGCATCTCTATTTCCTCACCACAAAACTCTTGAGCGCAAGGAAGACTGGGTCACCTACATCACTGATTCACCAGAGTCCCCACCTGAAAGGATCACCTTCTCAATTCCAGTGATCAATTCGGCTTCAAATGTTGCCATTGTGGCAGTAGGAACTGACAAGGCCATGGCTGTGCAGTTTGCTGTTGATCTCAACACTAGTTTTGATGCCTTTAAGTTGCCAGCCAGGTTGGTGAACCCAAATGAAGGGAAGCTGGTGTGGTTCATGGACAAACCGGCGGCCTCGTTCCTCGACTCTGCCGATGAAAGCTAGCATTTAGAAATTAAACTGTTTTGTGTATGTTCAGTATGTAGATGAGTAGGGTGGGTATGATTCAGTTAGTTCTTTTGTTTGGCCTTCTTGAGCTATAATGTGAAGAGAGCTGTGTTGAGGAGGTGATGGTAAATCAGTAGATGAGTAAGGAGGATTAATAAGCCAGGTTTAGCACAAAGGCATAGAGCAACTTTTTGGCTGGAGGGAAGTATTCATGAAGTGATTTGAAGGGAAGATTGTAAGAATGAAGGGAGATGTAGGTTGGACATTGCTTTTATTTTGTTTTCTTGATGGATATGATCAATTCGTGGAAGAAATTCAGAATTTCAGTCCATGTCTGCTGTCAGAATAATACAGTTTCTTGTATAAAGTTTAATTTATGCATGATTATAAAAATAACATCAAAATATTTGTATTTATACAAATTAAATTTTAATTTATTGGAATATTCTTCATGCGAATAATTTATGAAATCTCAACCATGATAAAAAAGACAATATATAATATCTGCATAGACTAATACAATCGAATAGATGCTGAAATACTGCATCAATTTATTAAGGCATCGTATGAGACTGTTTTTTTACTGTTTCTTAAAGCATCTTTTTAGTACAAAAATTTTAATATTTGATTTAAAAAGTTGTTTGAAGAAGCAATAAGAAAGCCGTTCCAAACAAACCCTAAAATAGACAAGTTATTGATGTGAAATAAAACTAAATTATTACAAGAGAATGGCCATATAAATAGACCTCACAATGACAAAGAAAAACAAGAGACTAAAATGCCCCTCGGGCTACATAAGCGACTAAATGCCCATAAGGGCAAAAACGGAAAAACATCAAAATAAAATACGTTATTACATAAAATGACAAAATACAAGTCATGCTCGTGGCCGTCGATCTCCGGCGTCGAAAATGCTGACGATGTCCTCATCAGTTATAGTCACTCATGTAATAGCTTTTCCAAATTGTGAACCTCTAGCTTCGACTACAAAGAGAGTTTTGATTAAAGTTTCATTTGAGACAGCTTTCTTACTACTTATAAGAAAGTTGTCTCAAACAAAACTTAATTGAGCTCATAGCACACAAGATATTGCCTTGTTTGGGATCTTTGCGATTGAAGCACTTCAACAATAAATCAAAGACTTGATCTTGTTCTTTGGGGATCCACTCAATGTATAAGTTTTTTTTTTTCCTCAAATTTCACATTGAAGATGTATTTCTATTTTTGCAATATCTTGCTTTGTACTCATCATTGACTTGATTGACAACAATGTAAGAGCTAGAAAACACTGTCACACATGGTATCAACTTATAGAGCCAATAATAGACCAAGGAGTACGGTTTCATAGGTAGTTTGATTAGTGATGACTTGAAATATATTTTTTTCACTGCATGTAAGGTATGATTTCAACCCCTCAATTTTGAGGTGCTATCAAAAAAATCAGATATATATTTTTAAATCAAAAATAAAAAAAAATGAAAAGGAATTCCAAATACCCCTTAAAGATATAAGTGGAAAGCTCTCCAATGAGCAACAACATCAAGTTGAGTGGGTAGTAATACATACTTTGCAAAATAACATTAAGTTGCATAATAACCTCAAAATTAATGAAAATTTTTGGCTGATTTCTCAAATAGTCGTTGGAAGTCAATGTATTTCAATTCTCTAAGTGCTAGAGATTATGATATGTTAGTTTTGTGTGGAATATGATTGTGTTGATCAATTGAAATATACTACTATCTAGAACCTCAATTCTATCAGTCGAGCTCACCAAAGATTTTCAGGGGGGGGGGGGGGGGGGTTCCCTTTGCTTCAATTCAGGTGTCTTGCACTTAAATTTTTTTTACTTACGACATAATTCTACAGCACTTTATAGTTTGCTTGTAGATAGATATAGAGCAGAACAGTGTGGCTCTCCAGACCACTATATTGCTGCGTTGTCATACAGACTAGAGATAGAGAGTAGAGCGCCTCGACACAACAAACTTTGCACCGCGGCTATGCGAGGCGTATTGGACAATTTTTTTTCTTGCTTTTTAGGGTTGCATCCCTTGACAGTTTTTAGTGGTTTTTTTTTTTTGTTCATGTAAAAAAATGGTGTAATACTTCTCTCAAAATTTTATTGTGAATTTTTTGGTATGATGTGGCTTTATGATTTTTTTCTCTATTTTTTGGATTTTTCCAATGCACATTAAATCCTCATGCTCTTACTTTCAGGTATAATTTTTTATTTCATGTTTGTATTCGCTCTGTGTTTACTTCCCTAATCTAATCAAGGTAAAACCACTAGTCAGACTTCATGCTCTTAGGTGTTATAAGAGAGTTTTTAAATGGAAAGCATCCACACCGCACCTCATTATGATCTCATATATGTAATATTCAATAAGAATAAAAAATAATATTTGTTAACTATTAGATATATTTTTATTTTTATTTCCAAAATGGCTCTTAATTTTTTTATAGCAACCTTAAGAAAATATTTTAATATTATAACAATATTATGTTTTAAAATAAATGTAAAATTCAATTATTAAAATTAAAACATGGAACTATGAAATATAAAGAAATAACACGTTAGGAACCATAGATACATTGAGGGAAAAAACTAAAAAGTTTGTATATTCGTAATGAATATTAAATAATTGTCTAAAATATCATTATTATTTCCAATTCTAAAGTCGCGGGATATTCCCATTTAGTGTAAATTTTTTAAATGCCAATTTCAAATATTCAAAAAAACAAATAAAGCGCCGTTGCCGGGGATCGAACCCGGGTCACCCGCGTGACAGGCGGGAATACTCACCACTATACTACAACGACTTTGTTGAAATTGGTTACTTTTAAAAATACAAATAATAATTTACAAAGCTCTTTCTCTAACTTCTAAAGACGGAGTCTGAAAGCATAAATGATCTTTATAATAACTTTTAATATTATTAACAACTAAATATATTTTTTTAATTTTTTAATTTATCATTTCATTTTTTATAAATGATATGTGTATATAACAAGTTTTTATCCCATTATGTGGGGACGATTACATGAATCATTTTCTCCATTGTGTTTTATTAAGAGTCAAATTTCATCTAAATCTAATAAGGAAATATCATTTCTAATATTTTCTAACCAAATCTTTTTAGATATATCTCTACTTTTCGTAACATAAGTCAAATCTAATACATTTACTTTTCTAATTTGATCATCGGAAGGCCGCCATTTTATGTGATCAAATCATCTAAGATGATCATTGCTTAACATATTCATTGATCATTGCTTAAATTTAACTTTCGATCATTTTCATATTAAGTTTAATAAAGAGAAACATTATTTACTTTAATCGAGTTTGAGCTCAAGTCAAGCTCAAGCATTGTACGAATTAAATAAGCTCGGCTCAATTAAGCAAATTATCAACTCTTTTACACCCCTAGCTAATTCTTTAGGGTAACTTAACTGACCTGTGGCAAATAACTAAGAGTATACACCCTAATCAATGATTCTAGAGACAAGTTCAATAAAGATTGACTGAATTTTCAGAAAAGTTGCTAATCAGAAAATATAGTATTTTGTAATTTGTATGACGAATGGAGCAATAAATAGTTCCTTGTGCATTGCTGTTTCTAGAAAAATTATTCTGTGTAAATCCCGAACGGCGTATAGAGACCAATCAAAACGTGTCACATTTTTTTTTTTGCTTTGTAGCAATGCTCGGTACCGCGCAGTACCGGATGACGTGATGCATTCTGATTGGTTTCTAGATCGTCCAGTGTCCGCAAAATAATTTCTCTTATTTACGAGACATCATTCTTTTTTGCAACTAATATTTTGTTTGGAATAATTTTTTTTATTACTTTCTAAAATAAATTTTTAATACAAAAATTTTTGTACTATAAAGCTGTCCCAAACGAAGTCTAAATTAATTAAATATTTTCCTGTGAGAAGCAAGCAACATAGATTTATCACAAAAAGATAATATTAATAATAGTCACAAATAATTATAAACATAAACAATTCCCAAATTAAGAATGTACATTAAAATCATAAATCCTATAAAATATTTAATAAGACAATTAGTAGGAGATGGCTGCCGACATAAGAAATTATCTTAATGCAAGCAAAGAGACAGAACAAAATCTTAGGTGGCGCTTCATCCATTGGCACTTCAACTACAGCCTCAACTTCAGCTCTCAAGTCTTGACCCGTGAACCAGAGGGCCAGAGTTCATAAAAGGACACAGAATTCACAACCATTATCAGATTTGCAACGAAACTATCTCTTCTTTTGCTTATCTCGCTACGAATTGCAGTTCTGCTATCAGATTTCCCACAGATTTGTCCAAAAGATTCAGTACCAGTAGATATCAAGGCTTCAGAATATGGGTACAGGTCTAAGAAATTTGCTCTGCTCATTAACTTTCACTATATGTTTCATTCACCAAAGCAATGCTGCTGCTGCTCAGCAGAAGCAGCAGCTTCCATCAGTAATTGTGGCAGGTTCTGTATACTGTGACACATGCTTTCAGCAGGAGTTCACCGCATTCAGCCGCTTTATTCCAGGTTCCATTAATTTCACTATCTTAGGCTTCGTTTAGGACGACTTTCTTTCTGCTTCTTCAAGCAGTTTTATAGTACAAAAATTACTAGAAAGCTGTTGTATGAAATAGTAAGAAAGCCGTCCCAAACAAAGCCTTAATTTCTAAAAAGAACTCCCATAGAGGAACACTAGAACTGAATTCATTCCTCTCACAGGTGCTTCAGTTGCTGTAAAATGTAATGGCTTTCAGAAAGAAGTGAAGACAAACCAGCATGGAGTGTTCAAGATGCACCTCCCATTGGACGTAGCAAGCCGATATGTTGATACGATAAAATCATGCTCGGTGAAATTGGTGAGAAGCAGCTGGCCATTCTGCTCTGTGGCTTCCTCTGCAACCTCTGCAGGTCTTCGGCTCAAATCAATAAGGAATGATGTTCACGTGTTTTCTGCTGGTTTTTTCACTTTCAAGCCGCTTAAGCAGCCAGATGTTTGCAACCACAAGACAAAACTTTCAGCATCAGCAAAATACTCAGTTGCTGGTACTGGTCCAAAGAGAATGCAATCTGCGCTCTTTTTTCCACCGTCAATTTCATTCCTGCCTTCAACACCAAACATCGGTGGAATCCCATTGCCACCCAATCCATTTCAGCCACCACCATCAATCTTGCCACCACTTCCCTTTCAGCCATCACCACCACCATTTCTCAATATTCCACCGCTTCCTAACATTCCACCCCTTCCTACCTTAGCTCCACCGCCACCACCGCCAGCATCTATTTTCCCTCCATTACCATTTCCTCCTATTTTTCCAGGTAATCCACCAGCTTTCCCTACACAGAGAAACACTCCATGAAGGAACTGAACTGCTTATGTACTGTCATTGTTATTTCCTTATGCATCAAATAATGCTAGCAAGAATGTCACATGTTGAATAAAATGAGGTGTATGCTTTCAGTCAATCAATTTTCAAAGCTTGATCAGTAACAATCAAATTTCAAGGGGAAAATATCACCCTCTATAAGAAACTGTGGCTTGTGTTAGTAAACTGTAAACGTCAATACATCTGTCACTTATCAAACCCTCCATATACTAGTGAAGGAAATTTGTAGTTACAGCGACTAATGATCTAAAGCTGCTCATAGCATAGAAATGAATTAAAGTAAAGATGGAGCAGAAAAATAGATGTAACCAAAATAAATTAAGGAATAAGAGGGCACTGTTTTCAATGTGGCAAATTTTAGATGAGAATATTATTAAGCTAAATTAAAATCAGGACAAAAGACACTTTTCTTGAATTGCATAACATTTCAATCAAATTTGAAGACGTCTCTATTTTACAAGATGATTATAAATAGTTATTTTTTATAAGATTAAACAATGATTTGTAAGATAGAAAAAAATCATCTTATATTTTAAGAAAATACCTTATATTCAAAACAAAATTTAGCTAGGGATGTACTGAGCAATTTCTTTCACCTTTTACACAAGGAACAAAAATATTATCACTTAAAAGTGGTGGAGCTATAATTTTTTTTAATAACACAGATTGATTATTTTAAAAATATCATCAATATTTTTTAATGGATATCTATAACTCTAAAGGGTTGTTTTGTTGGCTAAAAAAAGAATGCATTATAAAAATAATGTAGTATAAAAGAAATACAATGTAAAAAGAATACTTTTAAGTTGTTTGCATGAATGCAAAGTAAATGCATGTAAATGCTTTTTTCGTTTAGTTTAAAGTAAAATGAATTTAGTGTAAAGTTCAAAGATGGCGGCGGTGGCAACGGCGATGTCCAACAGTGGTGGTGGCAGTCGGTGGCGGGTGGCGGTGGTAGTTGGTGGCGGGTGGCGGAGACAACGGGTGGTGGCAGCGGCATGCAATGGATGGCGGTGGTGGTGGTCAGTGATGGTGGCGGCGGTGAAGCATGTTTGCTTACGGTGTAAATGGTTCTCGTTCAAAACTAAAAAAGTTTACACTACATTTACTTTTCATTCTCTTTTCTTCCAACCAAACACCAATATTTTCAAAACACATGCATTTGAAATACTTTACACTCATTTTAAACAAAGAAGAAAAGTAGGGAACTGAGATCAACTTTTCTTTCAAACCTGTGATCAGCTCAAATGTTCCCTCTGCTTGAATCTGTTGTAGCACTAAAGTTCTAGAGGCGATGCCTGGATGAAATTTTACCAGGGCTTGCTTATAGTCCACAAAAACCTGCTTGCAAAATTATGAACTGTTGCTATATAAAACCCATCTAACTCTCCATTAATTTTCAACGATTTAAACAGTACGTATAGCTGAATCTGTTTAAGAAGCTTAGAATGCTGCTGGAAGCAGCTTCTCCTTCATCTTGAAAGTTTCCTCAGGTTGTATATGCTGAGACTCGGTCTGGATGAAACATTATTAGGGTTTTCTTATAATTCACATTAACCTGCTTAAAAGGAAAAGAATCATAAAATTGTTGAAGGATCCTGGGGCATACAATTCAATTAATTTTTGTAGTGATCTTTGAGCTCAAGATTAATGGTTATAACCATTAGAATGATCATCTTATGGTTCTTAAATTTCAATCCATATACCTCCACTTTCTATTTTATCCACCAGCCCTTCTTCAACACTGCTATTGTCAAGTCCCAAATCTTGGATAAGAAAAATGAAGGGTTGCATTAGGTAGTTCGCAATTAGCATAAAATTTGTCGAATAATCATGACATAAATCATTTAAGACATTGTGTTAATGCTAGGTCATTCCCTGAAAGCGACATGTTCTATGGCCTGAATACAATGATAAGTGTGCAAGGTCCACTGAACCGGAGCCCGAGTACAGTGTTAAATAAGCAAGGATTCTCATATCATGGACGGATGTGTGCAAAGAAACTAGTCCATGAAAATAAAAATAGGATAGGAACTTGGAATATAAGTACCCTTATAGGCAAATTAATAGAATTAATATATATTATGATTTATAGAAAAATAAATATAATGAGCTGGAGAGAAGGCTAATGATATTAATAGTTTATGATTTAAATTATGATATTTTAGTGAGAGTCGTACTAGAAATGGTGTATGTATGATCATAAATAAGAGTTTAAAAGATAATGTTGTAAAAATTAATATAATTGAAGATAAAATTATAGATTTAAAGAATGTTGTTGATGCTAAGATTATTAATATTATAAGTTCTTATGCTCCTCAAATTGGTGTAGATATGTGGGCTCAGAAAATTCACGATACGGCCTCCCATACTTTCAGGAGAGTTGTAACGAATTAAGTTTCGAGGTAAATTTTCAGAAGGCTGATTGGGTTCGAAATAAGACACCACCCAGAGATTTCGCACTTATTTTACGATGACTTTATGATCTGAGTTATGATTTCCTATAGGCGTAAGCCCCTATAGTTAATTACCCCTCCAGATAGTGAGAGAGAACTTTTGATTAAGGCTAGTTGTCAAACAGATACGTAGAGAAACATGATATCTGGTGTATAGGTTTAGATATTTGAAAATTTAATATTTAAAATTTGAAATTTCACCATCTTGCATTTAAAATAGATGGAGGGGGAAGTGATGTGGATCCGATCAAGATCCCATGGTTCTGTCATCCCGGGCCATCATAATCCCTACTCTACTTTGTCAGACGAGGTAGTCGACCCAACCTGATAGAAGGATTCTTATCGGCAGCCATGGGTTGCTTCATCCAAGGGAACCATGTAGCCCTGGGGTGAATATTTATCTAAGGGGATAAATTTGAATCTACCTTAGCTATCAAAGGGTTTTGTGCCCTATCGATTATATCATATTGATTCATATCTCAAGGATTTAAAGTCATTGGGGAATATGCAGACTGTGATCGTAACTGCAATACAGTAGAGTCGTTAGACAATGTGATGCGGACATCCGATCATGAAGTTTTTCGAAGGAGGAGATGACGATCGACGGCCGAGATCATTCCACCTTATCTTAATTTGTTATTTTTATTATGATTTTTTTTATTTTTTATCCTTACTTGAGATGATTGTCCTATGTAAGCCCTAAAACAAAGAAGAAAAGTAGGGAACTGAGATCAACTTTTCTTTCAAACCTGTGATCAGCTCAAATGTTCCCTTTGCTTGAATCTGTTATAGCACTAAAGTTCTAGAGGCGATGCCTGGATGAAATTTTACCAGGGCTTGCTTATAGTCCACAAAAACCTGCTTGCAAAATTATGAACTGTTGCTATATAAAACCCATCTAACTCTCCATTAATTTTCAACGATTTAAACAGTACGTATAGCTGAATCTATTTAAGAAGCTTAGAATGCTGCTGGAAGCAGCTTCTCCTTCATCTTGAAAGTTTCCTCAGGTTGTCTCTGCTGAGACTCGGTCTGGATGAAACATTATTAGGGATTTCTTATAATTCACATTAACCTGCTTAAAAGGAAAAGAATCATAAAATTGTTGAAGGATCCTGGGGCATACAATTCAATTAATTTTTGTAGTGATCTTTGAGCACAAGATTAATGGTTATAACCATTAGAATGATCATCTTATGGCTCTTAAATTTCAATCCATATATCTCCACTTTCTATTTTATCCACCAACCCTTCTTCAACACTACTATTGTCAAGTTTCAAATCTTGGATAAGAAAAGTGGAGGGTTGCATTAGGTAGTTCACAGTCAGCGTAAAATTTGTCGAATAATCATGACATGAATAATTTAAGACATTTAATGCTAGGTCATTCCCTGAAAGCGACATGTTCTATGCCCTGAATACAATGATAAGTGTGTAAGGGCAACTGCACCGGCGCCCGGGTGCAATGTTAAATAGGCAAGGATTCCCATATTATGGACGGATGTGGGCAAAGAAGCTAGTCCATGAAAATAAAAATAGGATAGGAACTTGGAATATAGGTACCCTTACAGGCAAATTAATGTAATTAATATATATTATATTTTATAGGAAAATAAATATTATAGGCATTCATGAAACTAAATGAGCTGGAGAGAAGGCTAATGATATTAATAGTTTATGATTTAAATTATGATATTTTAGTGAGAGTCATACTAGAAATGGTGTATGTATTATCATAAATAAGAGTTTATGTTGTAAAAATTAATATAATTGAAGATAAAATTATAGATTTAAAGAATGTTGTTGATGCTAAGATTATTAATATCATAAGTCCTTATGCTCCTCAAATTGGTGTAGATATGTGGGCTCCGAAAATTCACAATACGGCCTCCCCTACTTTCAGGAGACTTTTAACAAATTAAGTTTTGAGGTAAATTTTCAGAAGGCTGATTGGGTTTGAAGTAAGACACCACCCAGAGATTTCGCCCTTATTTTACGATGACTTTATGATCTGAGTTATGATTTCCTATAGGCGTAAGCCCCTATAGTTAATTACCCCTCCCGATAGTGAGAGAGAACTTTTGATTAAGGCTAGTTGTCAAACAGATACGTAGAGAAACATGATATCTGGTGTATAGGTTTAGATATTTGAAATTTTAATATTTAAAATTTGAAATTTCACCATCTTGCATTTAAAACGGATGGAGAGGGAAGTGATGTGGATCCGATCAAGATCCCATGATTCTGTCATCCCAGGCCATCATAATACCTACTCTACTTTGTCAGAGGAGGTAGTTGACCCAACCTGACAGAAGAATTCTTATCGGCAGCCATGTGTTGTTTCATCCAAGGGAACCTGTTACGCCTGGACCGGTCCCAGCTGGACCGGTCCGGTTCTACACCCGACGAACCAACGTCGGGCGGAACCAGACGGAACGCGCGGAGCGCGTGTCGGGGGGCCCAAACAGCGGCTAAAACGCATGGGGGAGGGAAAATTTTTGAATGGGAGGCTGTTTTAGGAAGTCCATTATTGTCCTTTATGATTATTTTGTATAATTAGGAGTTTTGGGGGGATTGGCTGCTTATCTTGAATTTGAGTTTTCTCTTTGAGATCTAGGTTTTGTCTTGGGCTCTTGGCTTCGCCGGAGACTTTGGAGAGTACGTTCTTCCTCTCGAATTGGAGAACAAATTGTATCTTGCTATT